GATAAATAACTTTAGACTTTAATACATGCTCTGATAGGCCGGGATCGATATATCCCTAATAAATAATAAATAAATAATATATATATATAAATATATGTATACACTAGGGTTGTCAAAAGTATCGATACTTAAAAAAGTAACGATACTAAAATGTTGTATCGGGATACGATACTCATCTTAAAAAGTATCAATACCACCGCCCCCCTTTCTTTCTGATTTATTTATTTATTTATTTACGTTGTTTATGGTCATTAACAAAACGTTAGTCTTGAACTGCTAGCTGCGGCTAATGGCTAATAATGACATGCTAAAATTAATCAAATACATATCCAAGTCCGCCCACATGAAGTCGGCCATTTTGATTAGGTCACCAATAGAAAGATCCCAGGCAAGAAAATCCTAATTGCTTCATGGCAATATAGACATTGATTTAAAAATAGTGAAATTAATCTTTCAAACACTGAATTAAACTCTATCCATAATATGATGTTAAAATAGTGTATGTTAAATAGGTTTGTACAATAAGTCCAAACAAGTTTAACCAAACAATATTTATTTCTCAAAATTATGAAGGCTGGAGGGTTAGGGTTAGGGTCATTAATACGGGCCACCAGTCACGATAACATGAGTAACTGGTCAGTTTGAAATGAAAGACACTAACCTGTCAAAATTCAGTTAAATTTTGGGGTCTTTGTTTTTATCCTTGTGGTATCGAAAATGCAATCCAGTTGAAAATGTTAGTATCGTGACAACCCTAGTATACACACGTGCAGGCAGCATGCTGTATCTCACAGGAACTGCTGCCCTGTCTTTTGTCAAGATCAAATGGGTGAAATGCTATTTTCTTCTGGCTGCTGTGGAAGTGATTATGATTGGACTAAATCAGATTAGTGTCAGTTTTACAACAAACTCCCTCATGGGAAAATATCATTAACAGTCGGTGTGTTTGATAGGAAGAATTCACCAGAGTCAGGGGGTAAATCCGACCCCACCCCCCTTTGATTATGCCCCAAAACATGAAAGCCTCCATATGTTTTTTGGAGGGAATTAGTTTCCCTATTCATTCCTAACAGATAGCACAGACATGGGTGCAAACCCAATTTACAACAGAGCATCTGTGCCAAAGTTAAATGAATCATTAAATTGGTAAATTCCCAGTTGCTGTCTCTGATTCATAGTAATTAATGTGCCATTATGCAAAACTATATTTAATTTTTGTTCCGTGTTTATCTGTTTTTAGTGTGAGTCAACCAGAATAATGTTTAATCTTCTCTCATTCTGTTGTTTGTTTATTTCCGTCTATCTCACGATACCTCCATTTTAGCTCACTAGAATGCCCCAATTTTCCCCCTCAAACAAAGAACAGCTTTTAAATATAGCCACCAGTGTAGCTATGAGCCCTCAGTGTCTGTTTGCATCTTTAAGTGTGAGTAATGAAACATTAAAAACAGTGAGTGAGCTTTCTCATCCCGACTGTTTTGCTGCTAAAACAAGATGCTGGTTTGATGCCAACAATAAAATTTAGCAAACGTGAGGCAGGTCTGTTAAGCCAAAACATTTAGGGTTTATGTGGTCCAATTAAAAGCAAATTCAATATATAGGACTGTCTCAGAAAATTAGAATATGGTGATAAAGTTCTTTATTTTCTGTAATGCAATTAAAAAACATGAAATGTCATACATTCTGGATTCATTACAAATCAACTGAAATATCGCAAGCCTTTTATTGTTTTAATATCGCTGATTATGGTGTACAGCTGAAGAAAACTCAAAAATCCGATATTCTAATATTTTGAGATAGGATATGTTTAATGTGGTCCAATTAAAAGCACATTTAATATAAGTACTACTCATGTTATCAACACTTTAAAGGTAAAAAATGCCCAATCCCGACCCTTCAAACAGACATAAGGAGCCATTGGCTCTAATCTCATTTTGACCAAAGTACCAAGTACTT